AACTGACAAAGCAGTCTCTAAGTTGCATCTTCAACTCAGTCAGCCTGTGAGAGTTGTCCAGAAACTGCCTGGCGCAAGATTGACATAAGCTCTGCCCCATTACCCCGTGCTCTTGGAGGTTCAGCCACGGTTGGACCCCACTTGTCACCTTCTGCACTTAGCAGTGTGCTGGTTGATCTGACTGCGTTCACTGCCTTACAGAACTGAATGTTGCTCACTTGAATTCCTTTGCAGTTTCAGCAAGGCCCAGTATTTGCCTTGTTTTGATGCTCAAAGCAGCTATAGGTTTCCCTTTCAGTGGTAGGCTTGAACCATTCTCCCCATCCCTTTCCCACATTCCTGGTTAATTCAGGCTGGTAAAACAATCGGTGTTCCCTGAAATTCCAAGTGTTATTAATGGTATGGCTAGGGGCAGTGATGCCTTATTACTTTTCATGAGGCCAGGCGCAGAACTGAAGTTCAGATAAAGAGACAGCTGGCATTTGTATTCTTTAATATTTACAGAAGTCTAATGATTACCTTGCAGACTCTTGCAAAGTGCTCACCTGCGCTGAGGGACTGGAATGACTTGCAGGATATCTGCATTACAGTTGGAACATTGTTCCTATGGGGAGAGGGCTTGCGAACCTATTTTTACTTTTCAACAGTTCCTGCTGTGCTTTGGCATTTACAGTCCATCTGGACTAACACCTCCACTGGACTCTGGGTCAGCAGTGTGACAAGCATATCAGTTAATCACCGAGCGATGACTAGCATGGTTGATTGGTTTTTGTCATTCACTGTTCTTAGGGTTTTATAAATAACTTTATCGCATCTCCTTTATGGGTGGGGAAACTGAATCATAGAGAGGAGAGATGATGTCTGCTAGGTCACCTGTTAAGAAGGTGGAAGAGCCTGGAATGAGATCCTGGTCAGCTGAACTGGCTGAGGGAACCATCCTCTGAGCTGCTGCCCATTCCTGCAAATGGAAGGTGTGATAGTCACGCTCCGCTCACCTCTTCTGCTGGGTATGGAGACCTGCTCTCCTGGAATGTCTTTGCAAATCACCCATTCCCTCCAGAGCCTCATACTAACCTGATGCAGTGCTGTACAACCTCAGCTGGATCTAAAGCTAAAACGCCCTAGAAAGCCTAGAACAGCCAGGCTTTCCCAAACTGTTCTCAACTGAACAGTCCGGGTCACATCTGTGTTTCTCAGGGGTATTTAGGGCAGAGCATGGTCAGCTCTTGCTTCCGGCGATGTTTCTATAATTTGGTACCTAATAACCCTTCTGAACTATCAGATTGCAACCAGTCCCCCAGCATAATCAGAGGATGCAAAGAAAAAAGCTGCAGGAAAAGTGGAAGAGAAGAGAATTTAGACCCATGTAAGTTCTTGACTTACAGGAGCGCTCTCTCACACATGCTGGGCCAAGAACTGTGTGATTAAATCATGGCTCATCCCCTTTGAGCAGTTAAGTAGAAAAACACCACTGGCAGAACTGGCATAACACAATAACCGGGAGTTGCTTTGCGATGTGAGCTGTTATTGCCCTCTGCTGACAGTTTGCTACATAGTGCCTTCGCTTTCAAAGTAAATATTTCCTGCTGTAGCTCAAACAAGGAATTCTGAGGCTCTTTGGTAAACTGTAAGGAACCTCTCTCAGGCAGAGAATTTGGTTTGATGTTGCTTCATGTTGTGTGTCTTTCCCCACTGTTGTAACTTCGATGCCATGAATCACTCATCGTGCATCAAAGATGAGTCCCAGGTGAAAAGGCTGTTGTGCAAGTCACTGAGCGTGCACATAGTGAGAGCCGGTTTTCCCCTAGAGAGCTTGCAGTCCACAGAGAGAAGCTGGGCAAAGGGTAGGAACAAAAAGAATGATCAGCCCCATTTTATGAATAGGTTGCTGAGCTACTGAAAGATCAAGCCAAGCTCACAAAACGGCAGCCCTCTTTAACCCTGCCTAGAAGCTGTAGATGAGTTTGAAGCAGAAATAAGGCTCAGGTTCTAGCTGCAAGAAGAATGGATCATACTGTTGACATGTTCTTCTTCTTCTTTTTTAAGGCTATGTACTTGTTCAGCTCAAACAAGGTTGCACTTCAGTCAAACACCAGTTTAGGGTAAGCAGGCCAGAAGCAATGACCTGTGATAACAGGAGGCTGGACTAGACAGTTGTATGGTTTTTTTCTGCCTCTATCAAATATGCTTGTCCAAGGTCATTCTGCAGTTTTGTAAGAAAGCCAGGAAGTGAATCCAGGGTTTTTTTGGTTCTGATCCAGGGCTTTAAACACATGGGCTTTTTCTTTTGTTTATGTTTCAGAATTATCTAACAAATGGCTTATAGGAATGTATTTAAATATTGCAGTGATGAACGGGACAGGAAGGGCTAAGACAGTTTAATAGATTTTTTTTAGCCTATGAACTGCTACTGAGCTCTTCACCGGGACTTTTACTGTGGTAAAATTTACTCTTTGGATTTGAGTAGTTTGGTAGTAGCGAGTAGATATCTTAATAAATTGGTGTTCTATTTCAGGTGACCAGTGCCTCAGAAAGGTTTCAGGCGGTCCGCAGAAATGTTCCTGGGTTGTCTATTCTGAATAAATATTCACACCGAAGGAGACTAAAAGCTTACAGGAGCATCTACGGACAGCAAACGAAGAGGAGTCTGTTATCTTTGACAACTTCCGTTATACTACACTAAGTATATTCTTTTTTCACAGGCTATACAAAGGATAGAACTTTTCTCTTGTGGCCAGACAAATACTCTTCCCCTAATCCAAGCAGCAGAAGTTCATGCTTTGAGCAATTAAGATCACAGTTTCCAAGCCCAAATATGGGGAGGAGACATCAAAATTTCAATTCCCGAACTGTAGCGGTGTGGCAATAATAATAACAACAATACTGCCGAGTCGTATTATTGATAATTAACAGGAATCTCAGGTCAATGTACAAGGGGCTTCTGTAAATGCTCTTGCTGGTCCCAATGAAAAGGGCGTACATTCCAGGTCAGTTTCCCAGTTCTCTGCACTGGTGCTCTGGGGAAGGGTTATGATAAGCAAATCGGGGTTGAAGGGCAGTTTGGGTGGTGCTAGTGTGAAGTCCCCTTTCTTAGACTGCAAGTCCTCGAGCCTAGTTGCCATACAAAGCCAGATACAAGGTGTGACGGCCTTGAACCACTCAGTCAAGACAGCTGCCTGTTCTTTATGCACTCATGCAGGACTACACAGGGTTGCTGTAGCAGAGGTGGTGACCATCTGCCACCGTTAGTGCATCAGAACCTAGTTCAGCCTCCGATGAACCACAGTTTCTTCCCAGTTATAAAGAACAGTGCGGGCAGAAGGCTGTGTGAAGGAAACCTTCCTAAGGAAGCTTGGGAATGTTTGCCAGTGGGGTAAGCTAGACAGAAGAGAATGGGCAGGAAGTGTGTGGCGAGACCTTTACAGTCCAGATGATCCTGCTGCTGTAGCATGTCCCAGTGCACTGAGGCTGTGCTGTAAAAGGAGTCCATGCCTCAGCCCACACTGTGGGCAGGAAAAAACAAACTCCATATCCTTCCAGCTGAATAAACATTTTGATGTAAAAATCCACAGAGTTCCCTGAACCTCAGAATTTTTCTCCTGCAGGGCCTTCTTCCAGAGAATCAAATTCTCTCAATACCCTGCTCTTTCATCTGTTACATCTCTTATGGGTTTTGCATTAAAACCTGATGATTTCCTACAGAGTACCAAACACTCCGGTATTTATGTGAATGTTACCAGTTGTTAAACCGTGATATGTGGTATTTTGTAAAGGTTGTCAGATCTGTGTAGTTATATAAGAATCTCAGCATTAATTTAAAAAAAAAAAACTGCAAAGGGGAGAGAAAAAAATGGGAAACTTGTTTTGACTTCACACTAAGGACTCAGAAACAAAAAAAAAGGCAAGAAAGAGCACAATCATTTAAAAAAATATTATTTCTAATCTGATCTAGTGAGGCCTTGAGAGGAAAGGGAGGCTAACTCATAACTATTGGCCGTGCATATGTTTATACTATATCCTACCACACAGCATAGAGGCTTTTGCTATAGAAGTAACTCCATGAAGTGTGTATTTGTTTAAACAAGTACAAAAAATTACTCTATCATATCTAGACTGAAGGCCACATTAGGAGAATGACTATGTATTCGTTTGCTTTCTCCCTTCCCCCATATTCTATATATGTCTTACTAATTCTTTATTGCTTCTTCCCAGAAGCATCACTCAGTGTCCAAACTGAGAGTGATTTGGGGCCAGAAAGTGGAGAAGACTGGAACAGGTATTTATCACATTACCCTTGACATTGACGGGGGAGAGTTAACAGGGAAAACATCACTCATCTTTCCAAAAATATTTTCATCCGCTGTAATTGTTTAGAGAAGGACAGGTCTGCAACAGAATCTGAGTGGCACTTTGGAAGACCTAACGCCTTCACCGTCATCAGTAGCTGAGGCAGCCTGAATGTCAGCATTCTCTTATTGGAGTTAATTTGTCCTTAAAAACTCCTTCAGAAGGCAGACTACAGCTACAGCTTCCATTCTCTTAGACATGACCCATTACATCAGATTGCGCTGACAGATGACTCTAATGAGCCAAGCTGCAGTAGTCTAAGATGTTGCCATCCATCCCTGTTCTGTCATCGGCGGAAGGGATCAAGTGTCTTACCTACATCTGTCTTAAATCCATCAGGTTAACTTCACTTCTGAGGAAGTTAGTTTAAAGAGCTTGGCTGTGATTTGACCTAAGCTACAGAAATGTTTCTTATTTTCAGTTAACTCAGAGTATTACAAGTTTCAGCCTACGCAGATTTAAAGCACTGTAGCTGGCTAAAGGGAAAAAATGAAAGTCCATTCTATGAAGAAGCTAGGACAAGACTATGTTAAAATATCAGAATGTCTATGTTGCTGGCACTGTTCAAAAATCATGGATCAAGATTCCAAAACCCGTGAAACAGGCTTACATTTTAGTAGTACAAATTTGATTCTTTATTTCATCGTCTAATTTTTAGACTCTAGGCATTTCATTTTCCATTTTTTGCTATAACAACAGAAAATAATCAAAAGTACAACGACCCTCAGATGTTCCCATTATCACATGGCTCCAGGATCCAAATGTTGAAAATAAATATTAACACTGTAAAAGTCATATATAATGAAAATTAATATAGCTGGCAGCATCAAAGGTTAATGAATGATTTTCACCTTTTTAAGTAACTAATTGCATTAGGGGTACATTTCTATACTGTTTTCTTTTTATGAAAGCTATACGTTTTACAAGACACATATTCCTAATATTGTCAAAAAGGAGCTAGGAAACTGCACATCATACAACTGGGAATGTGAACAGTATAGCTCTACTGTTTCTTCCCTCTAAGTGAGTATCCTTTAAAAAACGTGTAAAACAGGATAGGAACCCACTTCCCAGTGGGTAAATTCAGAATTAGTATAACCTAGGTGCAAGGCCAGTGAAATCAAGACAAATGAATCCCACTCATTGCAGTATGAGGTTTGTCCAATAGCTTTAGGTCTTCATGGAAATTTAGCCATTTGTCTATACTCCTTATCGCTTAGAGGAGGCAGCCAGCATTTCCACGAAATTATTTAAATGCAGAATTATTAGAACATTTTGCAGCTACAGAGATAGATGGGTTTTACATAAAATCTCTGCTCTCTGTGGCAACCCCATGTGATATTGAGCAAGATAATGGTCAGAAAGAACATTGCTGGGCTCCTAATGAGAAACTGTTGACAGTAAAATTATCCCACATTCATCAAAAAGACAATAAATGTCAAGCACGGGGCCTTTGAGGCAGTAGCTCATAATTCCTGCTCAGAAGCTTTTGCAGTCTTTTCAGAGCGTGCAATCATCCTGCGTGTCTGCTGATTTCACTGAAGACTTTGCTGCTGAAGAAGGACAAGGAGCAGGTGTCGGCATCCCGGACGTCATTGTCACAATGCCACCGGCTTACTGTGAGACCTTGAGCAGAACACATTTGGCCTCAATTTCCCCATCTGTAATACAGGAATGACAACAGAGGAATTACCCAAAGGCGATTCTGTGAAGGACACGGTATTGCCATCCAAATGTTCAAAACCCCTGAGCTGGACGACAAAAACTATTATGCTGACTTTTGCCAATGAGTTAATCATGTATTTTTAATATTAGCCAAGTCTCACTTTTTCTGCCTTTGTTGTATATATTTTCAAGCTTCTCCCTCCACAGCTACAGGAGATTATTTCAAACCAACACAAAACTGATTCTTATCCACTCAGCTGAGTTCTCAGTTGGCTGACCTTAAGAAAACCACAGACTGCCATGAAGCTCATATATAATCCCAGTGAACACTGAGCCCCAGCCTGCTCTCCAGCTCTGTGGATTGTGGAAGATAACAAATATCTTGCCCATCATGCTGAGGCCTCTGTTAAATGTATCATCGGCATATATCCCCCGAATGATGGGGTGAGGCAGAATCCATGAAGTAGGAATAATAACCTTACGCTGGATGTTACTGTGACGATCTCTGCACCCTGGCTTGTTTGTTGCCTTGTTGCTGAGCGGAGCGTGAAGCTACATCAGAAGTGATGATACGATCACATCCTCCAGATTTTGCCTGCATACCTTGCCTAAAATTTCCAGGTAAAGGCTGAAAGGCATTCTTCTAAGGCCTCTACTTCACTGACACTCTGTGGCACAGCACTTGGCTACATGGTTCATTATATTCATAGTGGCAATTCCTTGCTTGCATTTTCTCTACCATTTTTTCCATTCCAGCTGTTCCTGTGCATATTAGTTGAAAGCTTGTCCCTTTCTGTCATTTGCAGTGATAAGCTGCATCCTAGAGGCTCCACACAGAAGGAGGCTACTTAGTTTCAGAGATGGCTGAGTGTATGCCACGTGCTATTTAGGGTCACTTGAAACTAGGCTAATTACCTGGCAGACATGGCTGCAGAGCAGATTCTTTAACAAAAAATGAATGGGGTGACAAGGGACAGACTCCTAGCTATTTTAGGACAAACTCTCTCCTCAGGCAGCAGAGAGCCACAGCGGTAGGGCTCCCACTCTATCATTTGCTTTGCTGTTTCCTGGCTGCAGGAATTAACAATTCTGGAACCACTCTGTTTCCCAGGAACAGCCTGTGAATCCATTAAATTAAGTAATAAAGCCAACATAGACAAAAATAAAAAAATAACACACAGGTCAGAAATGAAAAACGTCGTTGCTTTGTCAATCTGTAGGGGCCTGTACAGGAATGTTCTAAAGCCCTCTGAAACCTATCTCTATTTAGCAGTTCAAGCAACAGGGAGATTTTCCTAGGGACGCCACCAATTTTGGAACTGATGATTCCTAATTACATAATTGCTTGACTGCATGAATTAGTACAAACAAATACAGTGAGAACTGGGACTTACAAAATTTTTCTCTTAGAGATCTCAAAGCACAACACAAATGTTTGTCATGCCTCTTGATACACCTGTGCATTAGTCTGAAAAAACCATGACCCTAGAAAAGCTGTATTCCTACGAGTCTGCACTCAGCCCTCCACAGCGCTGCGCTTGCTCCGCTTCCATAGATTTGAATTGCGAAGGGGCTCGAGGCATCGCGGGCTCTGGTCTTTTACATGGAAAGCCAATGCTAACAAAACGCTCCTACCCTCTGTCTAGCCGAGAAACAACCAGTGCACCCTTCCCAGGTACTTAACTTCCCCTCCCATCGCCATTTCGTCTTGCTAAAGCGTGCCTGTTCTTAACTTTACATAGCACTTCCATTAACAGCACAGTCTGCTCGCAGTGAGCAACGCTGAGCCTACCTATGTGTCTTTGTAAGACTAGGTTCTTAGGCTCTACGTCTGCCTGCCTTAGGTAAGTAGGCTATTCAAAGTCAACACACTCATGTGCAGGGATGACCAGAATTTGATTTTATCTCAGTAAAACTGTTTCAAATGAAGAAATTATTTTAAAAAAATGCAGATTTTTTTCTTCAAAAATTATAACCAAGACTTAATAGTAACGCCAACCCCTTCCTTGTGTGGATGGCAATCCATGGCAGAAAGAGGATTTCTAAATATCTGAAAGAATGTGCTCATCTAAACTGTCACTCATGTTTTAAGATGGCCACTGAAACCATTTTGCAGTTAGCTGGAAAGAGCACTGTTCTGCAAAAATCAGTTAATGTACTTATTCCTAAAAGCCCGGAACAAAAGAGCCAGTAGAGATTTGCTGAGTAGTTGCAAGATACCCATTAAATATAAATATTTTTAAAAACAATTTACTCTTTCCTAATGCTCTTAGAGCAGCATGTGGGAACATAGCCTAAGCGCAGCATCTGTATTAAAATTACATTATTTACTGTATTAAAAAAGGACATCATGAAGGTTAGCTGGCCCCAGATTTAACCCTTCTCTCTCTCACCTGTTCATAAACAGTCCATAACATATATAAACTGTGTGAGTTTACATAAATTTTACCCAACTCTTCCTTCGTGATTACAATAGAATTTCATAGTTTTAAAACAGCTATTCCCAATGATCCACATTTTTTCACATTCCAATAGGGAGGAACTATTTTTAGTGGTAACTTACAGTTGAAGTTTCCCTTTTTAAAATTAAGAATAGCAGGAGAACTGGAAATCGCCTTCTTTTCACGCTGAGTATGACTGACACACTCACTGAATAGCCCAGCTTCAATCAAGAAGGACCTTCATAAACTAAGGCGAAATGCAAGGTTCTGCACCTGGGGCAGAACAACCCCACGCACCAGTACAGGTTGCCACAGGAGTGGCAGGCCTGGTGAAAAGTAAACCGAGGTTACAGTGGATGCCAAACTGAATATGAGCCAACAGTGCGCTCTCATCACAAATAAGGCAAAATGCATCCTGAGCAATACGGACTGGCTGAAAGCGCCCAGCAGATTTGAGGGAATTTATTATTCCCCCCTGCTCAGCACTGGTGAGGACACATTTTGAATACTGTCCAGTTTTGGCACACTAACTGAAAAAGGGATGTTAAGATACTGAAAAGGGTTCAATGGAGAACTACCGAGATGGTAACCTAGAGAACATGACCTCCAAGGAAAGCTGAGGGAGCTGGCACAGAGGAGTCTAAGGGTGGTCTAATAGCAGCCTGTGACTCCTGGAAAAGCAGTTACAAAGAGGACGGAGCCAACATTTTCTTAATAATGGCAGATAACGTAACAAGGGTTAATGGCCATACCCTGACTGGCCATTAAGACAAATCTTTTCCACCAGGAAACCAGGTGGTGCTGCACTGGAACAGCTTACCCAGGGGGGCAGCGTAATCTCCTCCTTGGAGGCTGTCATGTGGCTGACCTGTTCCCGTGTTGGTGAAAGTCCTGCTTTAACTATGACATTGGACTTTCCAACCAACATGCCTATGATTCTGTGGCAAACCGAAGATGTATATCCTGAAAGGTATGGCTCGGTCAAAAACTACCACGTGAGATTCTCTGCTGCAGCCTACAGGCTGCATATTTTGCAGCGTGTCCTTTGCAACACTGAACTTCCCAAGCCATGCTCGGCCTCACTGGATCCACCAGCAAAATGCCATAGAGCTGGAACGGCCACAGCACTAGTTTGAACTGAAGGGGAAAAAACAGCATTTGCTGAGGGAGACAAACTAGTAGTACATAAGGTTCATAAACAGATATATTCATATGGAGAAATGGGCTTCTGTTACAGGCTTTTGTCTGTTATCATCCTGAACAGCATTAATAGTGGAATCAGTTACGATATATCTTTGTGCAACTGTCCTCTCTGGAATGAATCTAAACCCTTTATTTCTCTGTTAATAACAACAAATGGAAATTCTCATACAGAATAGGGGACAGGTACTGAACGGGGTGATCTGGGCACTCTTCTGATCCCTGTGATGCCCTAAGTAACCGGGAACATATAAAATGTTATTAGACGAGTTTCACTGCTAAAAAGGCCTGTTTGGTTTGATCTTTTTAAAATTTATTATATACTTAGAAAGAATTTATTGTGGCTTTGGCATATATAAGAGAAGTTTTACTTTCAGTAACAGCAAAATATAGTTCCCAAAGGCAACTGTGTGGAGAATCACGAAGTGCAGCTAAGCTTAGCTTAGAAACAAGATTCATTTCTTCTGGTCCAGAGAATGTGACCAGACGGGCTTACGTTTCTGAATAAAGGCTTCAATACCTTCCTGCCCATCTCTCAAAGTCAGATTGTCTACCATGACCTGGGCAGTTATTTTATAAGCAGTATCAAGGTCCTGTGTCATCTGTCTGTAAAAGGTGGCTTTCCCCAATGCCAGGACAGACTTGCTGCTTTTGCATATCTTCTGAGAGATTTTCATGGTCTCTTCTTCTAGCTTGTCTTCTGGTACCACCTTGCTGACAAGCCCATGCATTAATGCTTCTTGAGCAGAAAGAGGTTCACCTGTGAAAAGCATCTCTAATGCCACCTGAAACAAGAGGGAAAAAAAAAAAATCATATTGAGTATATTCAGCTTCCCTATTGCTTTGGTTTGTTTTGAGGAATTTCAGTTTCGTCCTTCAAGTGCAAGTTGCTGTTTTGGCAAATGTAAGGTTCAAAATTTTTGGCCTTTGAAACCATCAGGGAAATGTTAAGAGACTTCTACAAGGGAAGGACTGGGTTTAGAACGGGCCTTTTCTCAGAACTGCCCACTTTTCAGAAATGCTGTCCTAGGCTGATGCATCTGGGTTTCTTTTCAAAAGCTCAGAATCTCTAGTGATTGCAGTAGGAATCAAGAAAGATGCAGACACTAAGTCAAATGACTAAGTATCCATGACTTAGTATCACTAAGTCAAATGACTGAACTCAGTATTTTCAACTCAGAGTATAATAGTAAATAAACAGATTTCCTAAGTCAATATATAGTTTTTGAAAATACCTGTCTTAGTTTAAGTTTGGTCTGGGTGTTTTTAAATACATCCCTCTTATAACTGTACCAAACCAAGTCTCCTGTTGCTTCCAGCATCCTATACCTGAGGTTTCAAATAAAAATATCCAAATATTCAGCCGACTATTTGAAGCTATACATACACTGAAAAGTTTCTTCCATGACTCCAGATGCAATTGGCTGATACCATGAATTGTAAGACTCGATTATCCTTATTAGCATCTTTGCTGTGTTAGCTACAGACCATCATCTGGGCAACATTTCATTTGGTAAGAGCTAAAATCAGTAATCCTGAGAACTGCAGGAAAATTTCTTGCTACTCTGAAAGGTAGCACGGAGAAAAGTACACCCTGCACATTTTAAAAAGATAACTGTAAAATCAGAAATACTAATTCAGAAACAGCTATACCTGTACAGTCTAGCACACTTTTTCAAAAGCACAAATAGGCTATATTTGAACATGATGGCATTATACATGATGGCAAATTAAAGTTAAAGCTTTTATCCAGCAATTGGATCTGTGCAGGTAAGTCCTTGCATCTCAGCAGTGCCCTGCTGATCTTGAAGAACAGGAGCCTGCCCACTCCAATCTAACTGGATCAGAACTTAAAATTTCATTTCTCAGTCAAGGCTTTACAGATCATACTATTGTTTATGCAGTGAGAGATGCGTAGTCACAATCAGTAGGAAATAAAGCAGGACGGAGGTACATGAAGGTTTGAGATACTATTTAAAGCGTCTTGATCTAAACCCAGGCAGAGCATGCTGACAATGAAATGTCGCTGCCTGGCAAGAACTGACACCCCAGTGGGACTGCTATCCTGAGTTTGCAGGGGTTTCTCATCGGGGGGCAACATCTTTGTCTAAAGCACAGAGTTGTCTGTTGGAAAGGAAAGAGACTGCTGTGCTGGTCTGCTGCTGCTGCTGAGAGTCCCTGCTGACTGAAATCAGAATGGTAGGAAGCGGCTTTCCCTGAGCGGAGGTCATCCCTTTCTTACTTCATCCCAGTCCAAAGGATTTGTTCTGAATATGTTTTTGGTAATGAAGTGTTTTGAATGTTTTACTGCAGAAAATGAAGTTTAGTCAACGGAACTAGAACTCCTCACTGGATCCTACTTCCTGCAAACCTGGGAAGAATAACTGGGAAGGAAGCCTACCTTTCTCGGAAGAGATCTGCCCAAGGCCACAGCCGGTGTGGAGCAAAACAGACCGATGTTTACACCAGGAGTAGCAAACTGGGATTTCTCACTTGCCACTGCAATGTCACAGCTTGCCACTAGTTGACAGCCTGCTGCTGTAGCCAAGCCATTTACTTTGGCAATCACAGGTACTGGAAGCTTCTGGATTAAAGTCATAACCTGTATGCAGAAAAGAAAGCGGTCAGTTAGCCAATGAAGTTTCAGCACTGAATGTTCTAAAACTTGCAGTTGCTTCACATGCCTGAGGTCACTGTTTGTATTTCCCAGCTTTATGAACTGGAGTTTAATGAAAGATATAAGCTCTCCTTGCAAAACCTGCCTCAGTCTGCCGTAACGCACAAAAACAATGCTGGCTGCACAGCTGTGCTTATGTAGCACTGGTTAGTCCTGGTAGCCCCAATGGAAATGGAAAGCACGAGAATGAATGGCAGAGACGCTCGTATTAGAGCCGCATGGAGCTTGGGTGTCTGCACTGCAGGGCACGTGTTCCCAGCTGAGGTAAGATGTGTATCCAAGACAAACCACCCCCACCTTCATTACCGCCTGCACTGGAAAACTGACTGTGTAATAAAAGTCTCTGTAGCAAGGAACTGCGTGCAGCGTGACGCATTTTCTGAGGCTGGATAGCCAGCTTGTAGATAGCTGAAATTAAGAGGGATGAATGTGTCTAGCTTTTCTAAGTCAGCTTCTTCTTCCATAAAGTGGTGATGAAACTCACCTAATTTTAATGGTTGCAGATACAGAATGCTATTTAACTGATTACTGTCATTACCTGGATTAAAGAATTCTCATATTAGCACAGTGTAGCAAGATAACAAGTTTTCATTTGCTAATTCATTTTCTCCAACGGACGAAGCCTTGCAAGTTTTATGTCCCTTGGGTAAAATTACCTAAATTCAGTTTTGAATTTGGCCAGCCTTTGTCTCAGTTTTTCTATCTTTGTTTAAAAACAATTTTCAGTGCAACTTGAAAATAAACAACACACAAGTAAGAGTATGTGCATGTGTGCAAAGAAACACATAGAGAGTACTCTTTGTGGTTTTAAAAATTTAAAATCAAATGCTTTTTAAAAAATCCTTGGTACTCATGGTTTTGTTTTTGAAAAGGCTCTGGTGAGATGATATTCACACCTGTCTCAGACTCGTGTGTGGAGCGTGCCGAGTTCTTGGATACTGCATTATATAGTGCTGCTAGCTCCGTCGTACACACGGGGAATCAGAGGCATAGCAGCTGAGATGACCTACCCTAGATTACCGGTCACAGACACACATGGAAACCAAGCTTCCTGAATACCAGTCCAATGCCCTGGACCCACTAGTCGACAATGTTGTGGGCATGTTATTTAGGACAGGATCCATTCTACTTTACTTAGGTATCTAAATTTGGAAAGACATACTCCCCTTTCTGGAAGCCTTCAAAAGGACCTGTCTCTCTCTACGGACCAAAAAACCAAAGTCAATTACTTTACCAGACAACTAAAACGTAGCTATGTTAAGATCCTACATAAAACCTAAATTATTTTCCGTATTTCTCAGTTTGTCTGTAAAGTGTCATTACTATTTAATCACTAAGTCTTTCTTCCTACAAAACAATAACACTGAGTTGTGATTTATGAGAAAAAATTTAAATCCCTTTAGGATTCTCAGGTAGGAAATGTAAAGCACTGTATCATTACCAGCATCAGCACCATCAGAAAAGGGAAACCTCAAGTGTCATTTTGCCTTTTACGTTTCATTTCTTCTTTGCCAATTTCATGGTCTCAGGAATATTTATCTGAAATGTGGTACCTCACTTTTTATTTATAATGATGGTTCCCTTACTAAATTTACTATACAATAGGACTCTAGTCTCACAAAGAAACATGTTTAACTACACACTGATGTTCTGTTGTTTTTTGCTCTTTTTCTTTATTAAATCAAAACCTAAATTGCTATACTAGCCATTAATCCTGCATATAACCCTGGTGCTAGAAATACGTAAGGGACAATTTACATTTCTTTGGTTCTTAAAGTGAGAAATTTACAAACTCTTCATTTCATGCTGTATGGAATACATTCCGCGTGTCTTCTATCTGATCTCTCCTGTTCTGTGACCCAGAAACTATATGGTTTAGTTTTCCACAGCCAGCATTATAGTACGCTGCCCACACAGAGATAGGCACGAATGTGGCTGAATGACAAATTAGTCCTGTCACCAGAAAGGAACAAAGACCTCAGTTTAATACTGACTTTGCAGTTGCAGGGAATTGTAAGTGAGAAATACAGGGAAAGCTGCAAGGATGATTGCTACATATTACGCTAAAGGGCCGTCAGTGGCAACTTTCACAGGTAGCTTTTAGAGCATTTGTTAAACATCAATAAAGGGAGCTTGACAGTGTGCATGGACATCATTATTTCTACTGGAGAAACTAGGAAAAAAGGCCCAAAATTATTGTTTGTAATCATACTGAACAGGATTAGGGGTCAAATTCTAGCGTCATTACAGTCAAAGGGCTTTTTGCCATTCACTCCAAAGGCTCCCGGATTCGCTTTAACTTCCTGAGTTCCTGGGCTGCGCCTCTGCAACAAGAACTTGTGTGTTCTGCTGACCAGCCAACCAGAAAGTCACAGATGTGTTCAGTATATTGCTTTCACGTTGTCTACTTGGATGTTTCAGCTGGTCTTGAGTTATTAGCTAGATGCTGGGAAGGAACATTAGATCACAAGTGGTATGGAGCCGGATAATCCTGTATTTTTAGGAAGGACACTACACAAATACTCAGCTGCAAGGAATCCTGGCCAAAGTAAGGAATATTCTATGACACCTACACATTGGCATTCTGGCGCTTTTATTTGCACACAGAGAAAGAAATCCAGCCAAAACATAATTTGACCAGGATCAGGTATTAAAGTGACAGAACAGCAAACAGCAGGGAATGCAGAGCAACAGTTTGTGCTCCAGCCAGCAGACGAACAATGCTGTCCCAGCTCAAACCAATTTCACTGCTTGCTCTTAATACCAGGGAAAAGGGGCCGGCATTTGTGAAGAACTGCTTACCTCTGCACAAAGTTCAAATATTTTGGAATGATGCTTCACATCTTCTGCACTTGACAGTTCCTTTAAATCATGACCAGAACAAAATACAGGTCCTTCCGCTGTAAAGGATTTCATGAAATGGAGGTTAGAAAAAAATAAAAGTTGTCAATCTGAACTACTTCCGAAACCAGAAGTAGTGGCAGTATCAATGCCCTACTTGTTAAAGGTACAGAGTTATCAACGGTAAAAGGAAGGGGCTTGAGGAGGTGGGGGGAATTTTACATGGAGCTCCTAAATACTGCAATACTGGCTTTCATAAGAATTTTAAATTGCCACAATGAAACATTTAACCACACTAACACCAATAAACATTTTTAGAGGCCTAGTTTGTCTTCCATTCCAAAGTAACTTGGCTAAAAATGAGCCACTTTACATTCCTGAGTCTGGTTTTTCATAACATACCGTGCTAAACTGCTTCTTGGCACAATGTAAACTAGTCAGCCGGAGCAAGGAGAGATTGCCCTGCTTTCAGACCAATAGCTACAGTTATTCCCTGTTTAGTCAGTGCTCTGCACTCAAAATTAATGATTAACTTCTGCTAAATAAACATCAAAATTTTAGTGTCATGGTATTCAAGGCGACAATGGACAAGAAGGTCTTTCAGCTAGAGGAGAGCCAAAAAGGTTGTTGGGGCCTCTGCTCTTCCAGTGCTCAAACCGTCATCTAGGGAACTCTGCGCAGTTCTGGCTTTGGTGACTCTGCTGATTATGTTTCTGCTGCTGAACAGATGCACAGACATCTCTTGGACTTAAGTGCTGGAAACTTAGGTGCCTTTCTCTAGGGCTTGGGCAGGAACAGAGTAGGATTCTACGGGCCTACGTTTTGGATTTGCTCGTCTGAAGTGGCAGCTTAGTGTACCTACAAACGGGGTTTTGATCTATCTCCCTAGTAGTGTTCCTCTCTCATAAGGATAATGTGCTGTAAGACTAAACTGATCTGAAGCTTTTGAAACCTTCAGAGCTTTCCAGATATTTATATGGACATGATACTTCCCACTACAACAGCTGTGCAGACACAACCACCTTATTTATGCATTCATTTCTTGTAGACCAGATTATTGTAACACAACGTATCTAGAGATAACTAGCTTAACATCAACTTGTTAGATCAGCAACACACTATCTGGAAACTAATCACATCTGTTTATGCCTCATTAAAGAAGAATTCACTGCAAGGTCTGTGTCAAAGATTCACAGCATCCCCTGACAAGCTTTTACTTTTCCTTAGAGGTCATCCTTTGCATTCTGCTCAGCAGCGGAACTGGAAATCAACAGGAACATGCAATTTATTTTTAACTAAAATTAAAGCAAGAAAACAAACCAAATTGCATTTCCAAACTACCATGCTCCCAAATAAGAGCCTGCAATGTTTCACACACTATTTTACTGCTCTTTGAAATTCTGCATGTATGTATTTATTCCTTCTGTACATTTAACCATCCATACTTGGAAAAAAAGAAAGCTTGAAAATAGAAGACACAGGTTCTTCACAATACTGGGTCTAAACTGTGGAACCCATTCTTCCAAGAGCTGGAAGTGGACAATAGATTTTCATACTTAAGGGAAAAACTCACCTCTGTGAAGTTAATATACTTCTATTCTCATGTGCATGCACATAGGCACATGCGCACAGTGTTTCCCTCTCAGTACAGGAAACTACAGCATTCTACGTTAATCAAGCTCCTAGATGTTCAAAACGGGGAAAAAAGATTATCTTAAAATACCACAGGAAAAAAAAAGATGGCTTAAGAAGAGCTCAGCTTTTATTATACTTAAAAACTGTACAGCTAAATAGCTAACTGGAAGAAACCTATAATAGGCTCCGAGAGACAGCGTTCTTCTACATCTGCAGGTCATCAGTGCTCAATATTATGGTCTCTCCTTTGCGGGAGAGTTTTAAAAATAGTTTTGGCAAACCACTGGCAAAGGTAACACAGGATGATCCTACGATTAGAGCAGGTTTTAGAGTGGGGGAACAGACCATCTGATTTGAAGAAACCTTTTAAGCCCTGTTTACTAAGATCCCACAATCCTGCCACTGAAGGCAACAAAAGTCATAGAAGCTCGGGCTGTTTTTGTACACAAAAAACATGAACTAGAAATGTTTCTTCTGTAATTGAACAACCACAAGAACCTGTTTACATTCCGTTTAAACTATCTTTTATATCTAGTTTTAAAATCAATTATTTCACGTACTGATTATTTAACAAAAGAAAAAAAGGAAGCTTATGTGAACATGCTACGCCACCTGACTGAAATAGGAACATTTTGAAAAGCGTTTCTACAGTGCATCTAGTTAGAAATGTTAATTATTAACAAAAAGAAAAAGGCAATTCTTAATGTCATGTTCAAGAATGAGGAAGTAGGTGTATTAAAGTGCAAAGCAAGAAGAATACGAAAGAACAGCATGAAAGCAAAGTCTGAATGGTGAAGGCACAAACGAGATGTTTTCTTTACAACTAGCCAGGAACATAGAAGCTAAAATGCAAGTCCCTTCCTGTCCTATTTCCTATAATTCTGTGATACACGTAGCTTTAAACTCCATATTATCCTGTTTCTTCTCCCTTTTCCCTCTGTCCCCCCGCACCCCGTTCTCTTCCATCTGCTCTGACTCAAGGAAATACCTGAAATGATAATAACTCTGAGATCTTTGCTTTGGATGTCATGCAGGAGGTCTTCCCGGAGCGACTGCAGCATAGGCAGCGACAGGGCGTTTCTTTTCTTTGGGTTGTTCAAGATAATGTTTCTGTAGGAACAACAAGAGGGTTACCATAAAAACCGCATGCAAAGCCTCCGCGGAAGTAAGGGTGAACTCCTGACACCGCTAAAATGTATCTGTATTTCCTAAGTGCATGAGGCTTTGGACGGGAATGAAGGCCCTTTCTCCGACGCATCCAATGAACGCCTGACCTCTCTTTATGTTAGATTTTTGCCCCCCGCCTAAAACCCGTTTCTGGGCAATTTGTCACAGAAGCCCTGTCCTTCTGTCGGCGCCTCACCGCCGCGGCGGAACAAGC